AGGGAGGTGGGTGGAGGGAGGAGGATGGGATCCCTATCATGGAAAGAGCGTGTTCTACCGCTGCTGGCGGAAAACCAAGGGGGGTCACTACCGGTTCGAACTCCCCCACCCCTCCCCCCAGTCCATCATGAAAAGGGGGGGGGTCACCAGCGGTTCGAACACCCCTCCCCCCCCCTCGAAAAACGGAGGGGGGTCACTACCGGTTCGAACCCCCCCCCCGCTCCCTCGAAAACCGGGGGGGGGGTGCGGACAGTGGTGGGGACGGTGGTGGTGGGGACAGTGGTGAGGGGACAGCGGGACAGTGGTGTGGGGACAGTGGTGGGGACGGTAGTGGTGGGGACAGTGGTGAAGGCGGTGGTGAGGACAGTGGTGGGACAGTAGCGCGGCGGAGAAAGTGGTGGGGACAGTGGGGGCAGTGGGACAGTGATGGGGACGGTGGGGACGCTGGGACAGCACAGTGGGACAGCGGCGGGGACGGTGGGACAGTAGTGGGTACAGTGGGGACACTGGGACAGTGGTGGGGACCGTGGGGAAAGTGGGGAGAGTGGGACCGTGGTGGGACAATGATGGGGAGAGTGGGGACATTGACACACTGGTGGGGGCACTGGTGGGGACAGCGGGGACAATGGTGGGAACAGTGGGGACAGTGGGGACAGTGGGACAGTGGTGGGGACGGTGGTGGTGGGGACAGTGGTGTGGGGACAGTGGGGAGGGTACAGTGGTGGTGGGGACTGTGGTGAGGGAGGTGGCCAGGACGGCGGTGGGACAATGGGACAAGGGTACAGAGGGGACAGTGGTGGGGACAGTCGGGACAGTGGGGACAGTGGGGACAGTGGGGGGAACAGTGGGACAGCTCAGTGGGACAGCGGAGGAGACAGTGGGAACGTGCGGACAGTGGGGATAGTCGGGCAGTGGTTGGGGCCGTGGAGAAAGTGGGGAGAGTGGAACCGTGGTGGGAACTGGTGGGGACAGTGGGGACAGTGCGACAGTGGTGGCGGCACTGGTGGGGAGAGTAGGGACGGTGGTGGAACCAGTGGGGACAGTGGTGGTGAGGACAGTGGTGCTGGGAACAGCAGTGGGGGATGTGGTGCGGACGGTGGTAGGGACCGGGAGTCGTTTGCTGGCGGTGAGGGGGGGGGAAGGGTTCGAACCGGTAGTGACCCCCCGTGGTTTTCCAGGAGGAGGGGGGGGCGGGGGTTCGGGTTAACTGGTAGTGACCCCCCCCGGTTTTCGAGGGGGAGGGGGGGGGCGTTCGAACCGGTAGTAGCACCCTTTGGTTTTCGAGGGGGGTGGAGGGGGCTTCGAACCGGTAGTGACCCCCCCTCGGTTTTCTGGAGGGGGGTGGGGGGCTTCCTCTGGTTTTCTGGGGTGGGGGTTGGAACCGGTAGTGACCCCCTCGGTTTTCCGAGGGGGTGGGGGTTCGAACCGGTAGTGACCCCCCCCGGTTTTCTGGGGGGTGGGTGGGTTAGGTGAGGGGGGGGGGATTTTGCCCGGGGAAGAGGGGGGGTTCAGCAGGGAGGGGGGATTTTCGGAGGGGGGGGGAACCCCCGGGTTCCGGAGGAAGAGGGGGGGGGAATTTCCCACAATAATGCGGCGGTGGATCACGCTCTTTCCTATCATGGGCTTGACGACTCTTCTACAATGGACGTGCGGGGATCAGGCCAGATTAATCGAGGTATGCGTGCGCAGATCGATGTGTATCCAGATAGATCGAGGTAAACCCAGAGGCGCCTGGCAAAGCATGACGGCAGTCGTGGGCGCTCCAGCGCGAGTCGAGGGACACCAGGTCGTTCATCAAGCCCTCGACACAAAGATGGGGGGCCTCCAGAGCGGTTGGCTGGCCGCTGGGACAATTGCGGCGGGCGGTCCGCCAGGACGAAGAGGAGGGGGATGATGATCATGATGATGATGATGATGATGATGATGATGATGATGATGATGATGATGATGATGATGATGCTGATGCTGATGCTGATGCTGATGCTGATGATGATGATGATGATTATTATGATGATGATGACGATGGCGACGATGATGATGCTGGTGATGATGACATGCTGATGCTGATGATGGTGATGCTGATGATGATGATGATGGTGATGATGCTGATTATGATGATGATGATGACGATGATGATGATGCTTCTGCTGATGATGATGAGGATGATGCTGATGCTGATGCTGATGGTCATGATGATGACGATGATGACGATGGCGACGATGATGATGCTGGTGATGATGATGATTATGATGATGATGATGATGATGACATGCTGATGCTGATGATGATGATGCTGATGCTGATGATGGTGATGCTGATGATTATGATGATGATGATGGTGATGATGCTGATTATGATGATGATGACGATGACGATGATGATGCTGCTGCTGATGATGATGATG